ATCTTAAATAAAGGCTTTCAAAGAAGTTTGCGTAGAACAGGTTGGATTTTGGTATAACTTTATATTCTAGGCATCTCAATGTATTGTATTGCTGGCTCCTGCTCTCAGCCCACTTACATTTTAATTTTACTATAATGTGGAGAGCTTTAGTATCCTGTCCTGTACCCTCTATTTGGGTGAGCTCAGTTATATTTTTAGCTTTGCAATTTAATGTGTTCTAGTGCCTTTGAAATGAGTTTCATTAGCTTTGATCTTCTGCTATGTTCATATATGCAAATTCAAACACTGAAGGCATATTTTTATTGATATCCCTGCGGAATTCATTCTTAGTATTTTCAAAACTGAACTTGGACCTTTTCTATTAAACTTACTTGCCCTCCTGGTTTCTTACTTACGATAAAACCAAGCACCAAATACTTAAGCTGCGAGAAAACCATAGTTTCATCATCCAGGTAAAATCAGTTAACATGCTATGTTTGTTTCTTGGCTTTTTCTTAAGCATGGCATTTGTTTTCAGTAGTTGTGTTTATACCATTTTGAAGTTTCTTTAAAGAACTTTGGCATTTTTTGGTTTCTTCTTTTCCCTATGTCAATACTGGTAATTTCTACTTTTATTGAAAGTATCCCTTTCATCCAAGTTTTACATATTATTGCCATGTATGTATACAAATTACCTGTATGTGTGTGTGTGTGTGTGTGTGTATGTATATATGTATATGCCATATGAATATGTATATATATGCTATGTATATATACAATTTATAATTTATATATATAAATTATCTGTAGTTTTTCTTCTTTTTTATTCCTATTTGTTAAAATGCATCTTTTTAATAAAAAAAAATATTGTGTGGATGAAAATTTTATTAGCATCTTGTGTTAGTTATCTCTACATTTTTTGCTTTATATTTTGTTTATGATGTAATCTACTTTTCCCTCTTTGTACAATCTTTGAGTTTACTTTGTTCTTTTCATAGCTGCTTATTTTGAATGCCTTGTTCAATACTTATATGTGTGTGTGTGTGTGTGTGTGTGTGTGTGTGTGTGTGTGTATAATTATCAATGTGTGATGATTAGAAAGTTATATCCTTGGATGCATATATTAGCTATACTTCACAAGATTTGGTAGGTAATGTTCTCATTGTTGTTTAGTTTTAAGTTTTTCATAATTGGCTTTGTAGTTTCACTTTAAATTCATGAATTATTTAGAAATAATATCTTTAGTTTCCCAATAAATGAACTATGTTTTATCCTTTCTTGTTAATTTTTAATTTTATTGCCCTTGGTGTAAATAATTGCTCTTTATAATATTAGTTATTTTGAATTTGTTGAAAAAAATTTTTTTGACCCATGTATTAGATAAGTTAATGCTAGCTCTAAAATCTCAGAAGCTTAATGAAATAAATGTTTATTTTTTACTCATATGAAATTCAAAATGGATGCTCCAGATAAGAAGCATCTTCAATATTCTCAGGAATTCCTGTGCATTGATATCCCACAATTAGTGAAGAAAAAGGCTGGAAGATTGTTCCTGAGGTTTATATATGCCAAGCCTGGAAACAGTTCTATCACTTGCACTCACATTCTGTTGGTCAGAATTCAGTTACATAGCCCATCTAACTGTAGGGGAGTCTGGGAAATGTAGTCTAACCATGTGTCCAGGAGGATAGACATTTAGTTAGGAGAAGAGCCACTCCAGTACATTGTCAATTTTTATACGTGCTTCATCTGAATTAGAAAGAAGGAAAATAATACACTTAGATTTTTGTTCTTCTTACTTGCTTATATTGGATTAATGGAATTTTATTTATCCCCCCTTTTTCCTTTGAAAATATGGATGTTTGTATTCTATTTTCTTTCCTTAAGAGATACACTCTAATATTTAATAACAAAGTATGAAATTATTATATGTGTGTGTTCTGAAACCAAGAAAACATATTACTAGAAGATCTATTCAATTTATTTAAAAATATTATAATTAATTCATGAAGGCAGCCATATTATTTAAAAATACTTGTACATGAGAATTTTTCTCCAGAGGATTAAATTTTTTAACTCCAAAGAAGCAACTATAATGGGTATTCAAATACAATTTCAGGTTTTTCTGAAATAATTACAATATAATAATTTATAATTAGAGTCACTTAATGTATTAATATTCCTTGTGGTTGTTGTTTAAAGACATATAATGATTGAGTTATCTTCTTTTTTAAAATAATAACTATGTTGATTATTATTCAACACTGTCTTCGAAGTTCTTGCAAATGTGTTAGAATAAAAAAGCAAAATAATTGGCATAAATATTAGAAAAGAAATATAGAACATTTGTTTGGCATAGTAATATGACTGAATACCTGGGAAATATGGGACTTTAAAAAATAAAATTAAAAAACAAATTTGTTAAGTGGTTGGATATAATATAAATATTCAAAAGTAAATGGTTTTTATTTTATGTTATACATAAGTAATAAAGACCTAGAAGTGGATATAGAAGGGTTAGTAGATATATAAATACGTAGGTAAGACAACAGCTTATATATTTAATGGAGAAATGATAAATTTGGAAAAAAAGATACATTTGCAAGGGAGATGGTAGAGTTAATTTATTTTGTGGACTGACCTCTTTTAAATTGACAAAAGCAGACAAGTTAAAATTATCAGAGTATAAAAATAGGCAATTCACTGTAGAACCTAGTCAAATGGCACTGAATCTTATGAAAAAATGCTGACTTACTAGTATATAAAAGTAAATTAATTATCATATTTATCAAACTGCAAATCTTAAAAGAGCTATAAAACCTATTGCTGGTGGAGACATGGCAAACATGAACAATTGGTTATTACTAGTATATATGCAAATTATTACAGCATTTCTGTCACATTCGTTACATTTCATAATACATATAACTTTAACTTTTGATGTCCCAATTCTGCAACACTATCTCTTATAAATAAAAGTATCAGTAAATAGAGATATATGTATGAAGATGTTTATTGCATCATAAATCATAGTATATTTTTTAAAAAAGTAAATGAAGAGGTTTTCCATCAACAGAGAAATGCTAGAATAATTATGGAGCCCCTACAACATGGTGTTGTATATAAACATCAAGAAGAGTGAATTAGACATACGTCACTTAACACAATTTCCACAATGTATTTAAATGTGAATAAATGTGAAAATCAACCTGCTGAAAAGTTTGCATGACTTTTTAACTGTGGAAAAATTCATCTGCAAATGTACTTGTGTGTTTGTGTGTGTGTGTTTGTGTGTACCTATTTACTTATAAGCATTTAGACTTGGGTACAAATAATAAAAGATATATCCTAAATTATTAACCAAGATTTCCTAGAATAAAATGATGAAAGTAGAGTAGCAGATGAGAGAGAAGGGTACAACAAGGCTATGCGTTAACTGGCTTGACTATAGTAATCATTTTAGTATTGAATGTACATCAAAACATCATGTTGTACACCTCAAATATATACAATAAAACATGCGTATTAAAAAATAAAAAGCTGCAAAAAAATAAATAAAAAAAAAAATAAAAAGCTGCACTAAAACAAAAGAACTTAAGAAAATGAAATCTAGCAAGTATGTTTATATAATTATATAATTTTAACTATATAATAATTTTAAATAATATAAAGACAATAATTTAATTAAGACCAGGAATGAAGTTAATATTTCTCAGTAAGATTTGGGGGAAGATGAACCTTGAACTATTGTGAAACAATAGATGCCCAACAATACTCTTATCTGGAAATTTTTTAACATGAATTTCAAATTTAGCATCTGAGAGATATCAGTATTCAAGTCCTCCCCAAGTACATTCCCATTCATTCTCCATCTCATTAATATAACAGCAACAATAAACAAGCATTCAGAGATCTACTGTGTGTGAAAGGTTTGTAAACACCTCTACCCACCACTGAAGCAGGACTCCTGAAACTATTACCTGCTTCTAAACTGTGTGGTGTTTAAACTTCTGAAATAAGTTTCCAGAGTAACAGGAAACAAACTAGAGTGAAAAGTTCACGAATTTTAGAATTAATCAGACCTAAGATTTATTCCAGGCTTTGCCACATACTAGTTGCATAATCAAGAGTATGTTAAGACAATAAACCCACATTTATCATCTGTCTATAAATCTATCATAACTATATGCCTGTAGCTGTCAATACTATTCAGATAGTTTGGAGGAGCACCAGTCAGTGACCAGTGGAGTTTGTCATAGCCTACATTAGTAGCCATATGACCTTGAGTTAGAGATATTCCTGTTTCCTCTTTTCTAAAATGGAGTAATAATAGTAATATTATTCAAAAGGTTGTTGTACAAATTTAATTAGATAATAAATATAAAGCACTAATTAGGGTTCTAGACATATAAAAAAAGTGTCAAATGGAAAAAACTAAAAAATAAAAAAATTAGTATCCAACTTGGTCTTGGAATGTAGATTTGGGAGGTAATGATTGGAGTACAGCTCAGCTACTCAGAACTAATATTTTGGACTCTGTGTGTGTGCGTGTGTGTGTGCATGTGTGTGTGTGTGTATGTGTGTGTGTGTTATGATGAAGATTAAATTGCCCACATTAAATCTAATGATAAATAAGGAATGTGTGTGTGTGTGTGTGTGTTATGATGAAGATTAAATTGCCCACATTAAATCTAATGATAAATAAGGAAACAGTTACAAAACAGAGATAGAAATAAAAAGCAGCCTTAGAAAGATAAGAGTGTCCTGATTACAGACATTAATGAGAGTTAGTAACAATGAAATCTTTATTATCATGCAGCATATCATCTTTTATGTACATTGCAACATACCGGCATTACTTTCCATACAACTCTGGAAAATCATTTGCCCACTTATGGCTTCCACTGCCTCAGGATATCAAAAAGTATCTTCACTAGAGAAACTCCAAGTTCTATTTCGGTTTTAAATTACTAGGACTTTGTGACCACAAAAGAGTTGAATTTCCAGTTTTCTCTTCTGAGTCAGTACTTAGGAGAATTGTGGAAGACCACATGTCTGTGTCTATGTCTATATTTTCTGTGTCCAAAATGTTTTTTCTCCTCGTTCTCATCTATTATCCCCATCAATTCTTCAAGTTTCTTCTCCAAATATTTCTTTAGTGACATTCGTATTGCCTTCATTTTCCTCCGATGGGATATACAAATATGGAATCTAGAGTAGAGAAAAGAACGTAATCCCAACTTCAATATCAATAAGCCTACTCTCTAAAACAATTATCTGTTTTCTCCTTTCTTGAATACCTTGCCTCCATTTTCTTAAGTTCCAATTATTATCCCTTGGAACTTCCATCCATTTCACTCCTAAAGGCATATCCCAAATTTTGAAATGAATTTTTTCCCCTTATTTCCATTGGGGGGAGGAGGAAATCTAGGTGGTCTCTTTGCCACAGAAATGCCTGACCCAGTGTTTATTTGGAGGAGGAAAACTCACAGTAACACAGCACTTCCCAATATTACAGCTTCTGCCAGCAATGTCAGAAATAGCGCAATCTCTTGATTCTCAGCCTTTTTTGAATCCTTGTCTGGAAGGAGAGAAGAGAAAAAAAAGAAGGTGAGTTTTGAAGAAGGAAAATAGTAACTTAGGACCGTTATCTGGAATAGAAGACTCTACCTCAAACAATTTGTCCTATCCACTACCTCATCACTGGTTATTCTGGCCTTTATTACTGTTAGACAGCTGGGTTGTACAAAATGTTTGCCCTTCCTGTCCCTAGCCTAATCTGTAGTCCATCCATAGTCCAGCCTTTTCATTTCCCGGTCCTTCAATTGGCCCAGTGCCAAGTTATTCATACTGGTACAAATTTTGCTGATGTTTTATTTTGTAACCCTATTATGACCTGCATAGAAGTGTCTCAACATATATGTTTAAAATAAATCAGCGAACAACCAATTGTTTTGATCCCTGGCCTTTCAAACCGCCACATCACAATCTCTGTTACCTCCACAATATTCTCCTCTGAAACACTGGGCATTGATGCGAAGACAGGTCCAGCAATCAAGGACAGGCCCTTCAGTCACAACTGATAAAGACAAGACAGGTAATTGGAAGGGGGCATGCTACAGGAGTTCTTTAGCTCAGATGTCAAGTATGGATTGGATCTCAGGCATTCCCAGGATTCTTAAGTTTGCATTGTTGTGAATTCTTTCTTCCCCTAGCAATTGTTTCTTGATGGGTCAAAATCTGTAATTTAAGTCAGATTTGGAGGGAAAAGATACTTCAGCTTATACTGGGGTGATGAGTTGTTAACCATACCCTAGGAGACATCTGAGCACCTGCAAAATCTGTGGGTGTCTGGGATTTCATAAGCTAGA